GAGTTTTTGCAGTAAAGCTTCATACAATATTTGTCCTTTTGTGACTGACGTCACTCAGCATAATGCCCTCCAGTTTCATCCATGTAGAAGAGCCTATTTAATTTTATATATGCAGTTTTAGTCCATTTATCTGGCTACCAGCCCCGTAACTTAAACACAGCAAACAGAAGGGATGGTGGCTGCCATAGTTAGGTAGCTAGCAGATAGCTGATAGCCAGATGGCCAGTGGCAGAGACAGAAGATTTAGAAAAAAATAGACAAAAGAGCCCAAACAAACGAATACAGAAAACCAGCTGTAGATGGGTTTCAAGTTAGTAAAGGTGGAAGCGTTGCTAACTCAGGGGCATCTGAGAGGAGCGCTCTCTTGCCGCAAGGTACAGTCACCAGTGGCTGTTGAGTCAGTTCCAATGCGTGATGACCCCCTGTGTTTCAGAGCAGCTCTGCACTCCCTATGGTTTTCAGGGCCGTGACCTTTCAGAAGCAGATTGCCAGGCCTTTCTTCCAGTGTGCCTCCAAACTGCCAGCCTTTCAGTTAGTAGTCGAGCGCTTAACCATTTGTGCCACCCAGGGATTCCCAAAGTGCAGCTAGTGAGATTCATAATAATGACCCAGAGTTATCAGAAAATGTTAAATAGAATACAGCAGGTCCTCTTTAATGAAGGAAGTTTGCAGTATCTTTTAGATGCTTTTAATCAGTAGCTAAAATTTCAGAGACTGTTGGCGCTTGAAGAGATTGGAGTGCCTGGTTGGGTAGTGCTCAGTAACGTGGCTTCCTGGGCACCTTTGTTACCTGTTGGTTCACCTCTATGGAGCACTTCTGTTTCTAATGAGGTTTCTCTAGCCTGATGGCAGTTAGGAATCTGTTTCTAAAAAAAGGGGTTTAGGGCAAAGAAAATTATAAAGATGTTTGCTACAAATTTTCATTTGCAGTCTGACATAGAGTAAGCACTCAAATATGTATCTGTGGAGGGGCTCAGTTCTTTCTAAAACATTAGTTCATCTGACTTAAAATGTTAACAGTTCTGAACGTTTGGTTGGAAATCTCCTGGCCTTGACACAATGTTCTGTTTTATATTTGTTGCATCTTAGGTTGAAGACTTTGAGTGACAAGTCAAGAGAAGCGAAAGTAAAAAGCCAACCCAGGTGAGCTTGTGCTGATGTTTAATTTACGGCGTCTTAAATTTCATACACCTTTTGGCTGTCTGCATATAATGTAATTTTAGATCTTTTGAGTGCATCTGACTAGAAAACAATTTATTGGTTCTTTCTAAATTTTGCAATGAAATTTTCTGATAAAATAGTAAAATGAAAGGAAAAATGAAATGTAATTGTTGTACTCCGTGAGAATCAATGACTACTGTTTGATCACGATTAATCATTTCTAAAAATATTTTTATTATAGTGAAGTATATCTGATTAATCATTTTAAAGTTGTATATTAAGAGCAAAAGTAAAAGTCAGGCATTACTGAACAGCAAAGTAATAATGAAACAGTACTTGGCAAGTGAGCCTCTTTAGTTGTGTTACCTGTTTTATATGAAAACGCTGCTATTAGTTGTGCAATTTCTTCATTTTTTTAAAGTAAAGCATGTGGCCAAATTTCACTTTCAGCCTAGGGATGATGAACTTTGATTTATTCTTAGTATCTAGCATTATATTAAAGTGCTTCTTATACACTAAAAACAATCTCAGTACTGCAGAGTGACTGTTGATAGTATATTAACTTTGAAATAAAACAGTACGTTTCTCTAAAAGTTTAGATAAATTATCATTATTGATTTTAAAATATCTTGTATTACAATTGACGATGTCAAAATTCTTGTATCTAACTTGGGTTTTTTCTTTCAGTTGGCCTGAATCAGAAACAATTTTAATAAAATAAATATTTCTTTTGGCAGGACTGTTCCATGTGTGCCAAAGTACTGTGCTGGCTTAGAATTACTGAGCAGGTAGGTGTTTTCATTCAAATAGGAAGGTTATCCTTGTGACTATCATCTAAAAATATTTTATAATTCATACAGACCTTAAAACAACTGAATTTTTACCTTACTGCCATGATTGGAAATGATTTACCTACTGTTTGACCTAAGGGGTTTTCAGTTCTCACTGGTTAGCACGAAGACCATTCAGACTTTGAGCAGATAACTATTGCATTTACCAGTCAATACTTTATTATTTGTATTTGTTACGTGTATGGTTTTGTTGTTGCAAGAAAAACCGATTCTGAATTTGGGTCCTCAGTAATTCTGTTTCTTTTTTTCTTAATTTTATGCCATTTCTTTTCCCATCTATGCCTATTGAAATCCTGCTGTGTTGACATTCAGATGAGATAGTCAAATATATGGTTTTCTTAGACAGTAAAATATATGGTTTTCTTAGACATGACAACAAAAGCGCAAGCAACAAGGGGAAAAATAGTTAAATTGGGCTTCAGTAAAATGGAAAAGATTTATATTTCTGTGAACACCATTAAGAAAGTGAAAAGACAGCCCACAAAATGGGAGAAGATATTTGCAAATCATAGGTGATGAGGGACTTGAATCTAGAGTATGTAAAGAGCCCTTATAACTCAATAATAAGAAGACAAATAACTCAGGGAGGAAATAGGCAAAGATTTGAATAGACATCTCTCCAAAGAAAATGGATGTTACCATATGACCCAGCAGCTTCACTCCTAGGTGCAGTGTATACCCAAGAAAAGTGAAAACGTGCCAGCTCAAAAATTCATACACCAGTGTTGGTAACAATATTATTCATAATAGCCAAAAAGTATAAACCACCAAAATGTCCATCAACTGATGAATAGGTAGAATGTGGTGTATCTATAAAATGTGATGTTATTCGACCATAAAAAGGAATGAAGTAGTGATACATGGCAATGACACGGAGGAAGCATTGAAAACATTATACTAAGTGAAACCAGCACACAAGGCCAGCTTTGTATGATTCCGTTTATGTGACATACCCAGACTAGACAAATCCATAGAGACAGAAAGTAGATGAGTGGGTGTCAGGAGCTGAGGGGAGGAGGGGAGTGACTGCTAATGGGTATGAATTTCTTTCTGGGATGTTGAAAATTTCTTTCTGGGATGCTAGAAACTACTAAACTGTACCCTTCAGAAGGGTCAGTTTTATGGTGTGAGAATTGTACCTCAGTAATGCTGTTGTAAAAAACAGGTCTGTGGTTTATGTTGTTATCCTGTGGTTTGTGTCGTTACCTGCACTTCAGTACTCAGTAGCATGCCACCTGACAGATGTGTGATAAAGGCAGAAGGTATGGTGCTTTTCCTTATCTGTGTTTATTACAACACAATCATCTATACCTACATTTGACTTTCTCTTTTCTAGTTCTTTACTGGGTTTCTTTTATTGTTGCTAAATCTAGACAGTTTTTCTTCTCTGAAATGCAAAGTGCTTAATTTGATATCAATTTCCTGCTTAGTTTTGTTGAGTGAAGCATGTACTCAGACATCTTCTGTGGTAGAGAAAAATTAATCAGTGGTGTACTGGTAACTGCTTATATTGTGTCCATTTTTTTAATCTAGTATCTTAGTTGAAAGAACTTCATTTCACTGTAAGTTTTCTATTAGATGTTGTCTTAGTTATCTAGTGCTGCTATAACAGAAATACCACAAGTGGATGGCTTTAACAAAGAGAAATTTATTCTCTTACAGTTTAGGAGGCTAGAAGTCTGAACTCAGGGTGCCAGCTCCAGGGGAAGGCTTTCTGTCTGTGTGGGCTCTGGGGGAAGTTCCTTGTCATCAATCTTCCCCTGGTCTAGAAGCTTCTCAGTGCAGGGACCCGGGGTCCAAAGGATATGCTATTCTCCTGGCTCTTGTTTCTTGGTGGTATGAAGTCCCCATGTCTCTCTGCTCGCTTCCCTCTTTTATGTCTCAAAAGAGATTGACTTAAGACACAACCTAATCTTGTAGATTGAGTCCTGACTCATTAACATAACTGCCTCTAATCCTGCCTCATTAACATCATAGAAGTAGGATTTACAACACACAGGAAAATCACATCAGATGACAAAATGGTGGACAGTCACACAATACTGGGAATCACGGCACAGCCAAGTTGACAGATATTTTGGGGGGACACAGTTCAACCTGTGACAGATGTGTAGACTGTGTGGTAGTTTTTTGGAGTGCTGATGTGCTTTGGGGAGTTAGTATGAAAATTTACAACCATAGGAAGGTGTTTATCATGTGTCCATACATTTCACTGAAACACAGCCTGCAAGTGGACCATCTCCCGCTAAGCTCTTCCTATTCTGGGACCCAGAATTTCAGAATTGTTCATGAACCAGAGGCAGCTGTTTACAACCCCAGTATGCTTTAATTTAGGTGTACTGCTTTATAGTAATTGTCTTTTTTATTTTCTCCACTTTGACCATGTGTGTGTGTTTTGTTTTTGGCCCAGGTTACACTTGGTTTTTTATAAAAATCTGAAGACTGAATTCATTAATTTCTAGAACTTTTATTCTTTCATGCAGTCCATTTCTTTTTTTTTTTTTATTGTAATTTAGGTGAAAGTTCACAGCTCAAGTCAGTTTCTCATACAAAAATTCATACACACATTGTCATGTGACACTAGTTGCAATCCCTACAGTGTGACAGCACACTCCCCCTTTCCACCCTGGGTTTCCTGTGTCCATCCAACCAGCTCCTGTCCCTTCCTGCCTTCTCATCTTGCCTCTGGACAAGAGCCGCCAATTTGGTCTCATGTAGCTGACTGAACCAAGAAGCACGCTCTTCATGAGTATTATTGTATGTTTTATACTCCAGTCTAATCGTTGTCTGAAGAGTGGACTTCAGGAATGGTTTTAGTTCTGGGTTAACTGAGCATCCAGGGGCCATGGCTTTGAGGGTTCCTCCAGTCTCAGTCAGACCATTAAGTCTGGTCTTTTCATGTGAATTTGAGTTCTGCTCCACACTTTTCTCCTGCTCTGTCAGGGAGCCCTCTGTTGTGTTCCCTATCAGGGCGGTCATTGGTGGTAGCTGGGCACCATCTAGTTCTGGTCTCAGGCTGATGGAGTCTCTGGTTTATGTGGCCCATTTGTCTCTTGGGCTAATGTTTTCCTTGTGTCTTTGGTGTTCTTCGTTCTCCTTTGCTCCAAGTGGGTCGGGACCAATTGATGCATCTTCGATGGCCGCTCACAAGCTTTTAAGACCCCAGACACCACTCACCAAAGTAGGATGCAGAACATTTTCTTAATAAGCTTTGTTATGCCAGTTGACCTAGATGTCTCCCAAAACCATGGTCCCCAGACCCTCACCCATGCCACTCTGTCCCTTGAAGTGTTTGGTTGTGTTCAGGAAACTTCTTAGCTTCTGGTTTAGTCCAGTTGTGCTGACTTCCTCTGTATTGTGTGTTGTCCTTCCCTTCATCTAAGATGATTGTCTATTATCTAGTTAGTGAATTCCCCTCTCCCTCCTTTCCCACCCTTGTAACCATCAAAGAATGTTTTCTTCTGTGTTTAAAACTTTTTTTGTGTTCTTATAATAGCAGTCTCATACAATATTTGTCCTTTTGTGACTGACTAATTTCACTCAGCATAATGCCTTCCAGATTCATCTGTGTTGTGAGATATTTCTCGGATTCATCATTGTTCTTTATCGTTGTGTAGTATTCGATTGTGTGTGTGTACCATAATTTGTTTATCCATTCGTCCGTTGATGGGCACCTAAGCTGTCTCTATCTTTTTGCTCTTGTGAACAGTGCTGCAGTGAACATGGGTGTGCATATATCTATTCGTGTGATGGCCCTGATTTCTCTAGGATATATTCCAAGGAGTGGGGTTACTTCTGTTTCTAGCTTTTTAAGGAAGCATCAAATCGTTTTCCATAGTGGTTGTACCATTTTACATTCCCACCAACAATGCAAATGTTCCAATCTCTCCACAACCTCTCCAACATTTATTATTTTGTGTTTTTTGGATTAGTGCTAGCCTTTTTGGGGTGAGATGGTATCTCATTGTAGTTTTGATTTGCATTTCTCCAGTGGCTAATGATCGTGAGCATTTCCTCATGTATCTGTTAGCTGCCTGAATGTCTTCTTTGGTGAAGTGTCTGTTCATATCTTTTGCCCATTTTTTAAATTGGGTTGTTTGTCATCTTTTTGTTGAGGTTTTGCAGTATCTTGTAGATTTTAGATATTAGACCCTGATTGGCTATATTGTAGCAAAAAATTTTTCCCAGTCTGTAGATTGTCTTTTTACTCTTTTGGTGAAGTCTTTTGATGAGCATAAGTGTTTGATTTTTAGGAGCTCACAGTTATCTAGTTTCTCTTCTGGTGTTTGTGCATTGTTATGGTTTGTATTGTGTTTATGCCATGTATTAGGGCTCCTAGCGTTGTCCCTATTTTTTCTCCCATGATCTTTATCGTTTTAGGTTTTATATTTAGGTCTTTGATCCATTTAGAGTTAGTTTTTGTACATCATCTGCCATCCCATTTCTTACAGACTATCATATATAACTTTTTTCATTGGAACTAATATTGAATGGGGAAAAGACCATATTAAATAGTGAACACTAAATTATAATTTTTTAAACAGTGTAGTTCAACTCAGTCAAGAATTAGTCTCCTTTATTCCTGTAGCTCTGTTGGTGGTGGTTGCCATCACATCAGTTCTGACTCATGGTGACCCCATGTGTTACCGAGTAGAACTGTTCCATAGGACTTTCTTGACTGTAATCTTAAGCAGATCACCAGGACTTTTCTTCTGCGGTAACGCTGGGTGGGTTCCAACCACCAGCCTTTAGGTTCGCAGTTGAGGACAGTTTTCTCCACCTGGGGACCTTCCTGTTCTGTTGTTGTTGTGTGCTTCCTATTGCTCTAAACCAAAAAAACCCAAACCCACTGACCTCCAGTTGATTCTGACTCTTAGCAACCCTATAGGACAGAGCAGAACTGCCCCATAGGATTTCCAAGGCTGTAATCTTTATGG